TTAGGCTCCGCTTTTCATAGTCACACTTAGGCTCCCCTTTTCATATAGCTTCCTGACTACCATGCTTTCATCCACCCTACTACACACACATTGTTATCCCCTCATTATACGTCTCTAGCAGCCAGAAAGATCTTTGTAAAGTACACATTTTTTTAAATCCATTTTTCAAGTCCTTAAAAAAAAAATAAATCCTAATTTGCTTCCCATTATATTTAGATTAACGTCCAAACTCCCACAGTGCCCTACAATACCCTATGCAATCAGGTTCCTTCCAACTTTTGTACTCCATCTCCACTGAGCTCCTTTTAAATTCTCCAATACAAGAAGCTATTTCCCACCTCAGAGCCATTACACTGGCTCTTCCCTCTGCCTAGAAGGCTCTTCCCTCAACTGGCTGCTGCTTCTCAGAGCTCAGCTCAAGCGTCACAATCCAAGCCAAAGCAGCTTTTATATCCCTCAGTCATTCTCTATCATATCACTGCACTTATCCTCTTTGCACTCATTACCACCTCAAATTATATTAATTTGTCCACCTGTTTAATGTGTATACTGATCCCTTAGGAGGGCAGGAACTTTGTGTTTTATTCATCACTGTATCCCCATGTGTCTAGAAACAGTGGCTGCACAGCAGGCACTCAGTAAGCATTTGTAAAACAAAATAAACCAAGAAAAGTGACTCTTAAAAGATATAAACGAAACAAGTAAAGTAAAAGACATGGATAATTAGTGTACCAAACAAGGTAGGAAACATCCTACTGTGAGCATTTGCAAGTAGACAGCCTGGTGTCACTGGCCTCTGTTATCTACAAGCATCTGGAGTGTATTTCTCAAAGCTCACTGCAAACAAGTCATACAGAATGATTTCACGTGTTATATGCTAGCGCACATGTATGACACTGCAGACAATCATTTGAGAATATTTTTACCCCACCCAAAAAAACCTTTAATGTACGCAAAAAAGTAGTGAAACATATTTAAAAACCACCTGCCACTTTATTAACAAAAACCAATACTTCTGACAGTGCTACTTATCTGTAAATGATTAAACTTACATTCAGAAAACTTCAACCTCTTCAAGTAACGGGTTCTTCCACTAAGAGGTCGGTCAAGACAGGTTCTGACGACTACCTACCTAAGAGGCTGCCTCACATACTGTTCTTTCAGTAATGCTGCAACTCAAACAAAAACTGTGCAAAATTCATTAAAAACTTAGTGGCCTCTTTTAACTCCTTACTGACTGAAGTTTTGACCAAGGGAGGAGAAAACTGTCAGTTACAGAAAAAGCTTTCAATCTTTAGGCAAACATCACTCAACCACAGAAATGAAGATAGCATACAAATTTAAGCAATAAAGATAAAGTTTAATAAATCTAAGTATCTTATTTTGCTTGATTAAACCTCACTTCTCAAAATAATGATCTGTAAAATAAACGAGTCTTAACTAGTAAAACAAAATTAATATTATTTTGCTTGATTAAACCTTCTCACTTCTCAAAATAATGATCTGTAAAATAAACGAGTCTTAACTAGTAAAACAAAATTAATACAATAGGTTAAAAACAGTCATATTTATTCATACAGGTGACTTGAAAGTAAAAAAAAAATTCATTTAACCTTCCTTCAGATTCTCTTCAGCAATTTTCAACAGTATGACCATTGAGCTTCAGATCTAACACTTACCTTGGTATGGTAACACACTTAGTATTACAATTCTGAGTGGTGATGGCTTTCTCAAGCTCATCTAATCGTCCTGTTTTCTTTAGCTTCTTCACCAGGCTTTTCACTGCTTTCTCACACCACTTTTCTTCCTGTCCATTCTGCTCTCCTCCACCAGCTCCTCCAGACCCAGCAGCTGATTTCTTCCATCCCAGCAGTCTCTTCACCACTGGTGGAGTGAACGGCAAGATGGACGACATGTTCTTACCACAGGCAGCAATCCACACTACCAAAGTAGCCTCCTGTGTCCAACCTGAAAAGATATTGAAAGGATCATTTAGGGACTAACTTTAAAAGAAGGTAATAATTCAACATATTATAGAAAGAAAACTACACAACAAAATAAATATTCAAGTTATTACTTTCACAACAGACTTTCTCAAGTTCTCTTCTCCACCCACGAAAATGTTCTTTACTAATTTAAATGAATTGTGGAAACAAACCCTTCCAAAAACAAGACTATGTTATAAGTATTCAAGTCTTGTGGGCAAATATAATAATTTTGCAAGTAAAATCTTTATCAATACTTTGAATAATTTTATTACTACCAATACTACATTTTTAACTCAATAATATCAATAATTAAATTGCAAAAAGAAAATTTTTCCTCATTTTTTAGGACTTCAATTTATTCTCAAAAGACTTAACAAAAAATATATATATAAAAAATTTACAAGCCCACTCTCCCCAAACTTTTAAACTTTCATTACTAACTGAACAAGTACCATAAAACAAAATCTAAAATTATAAGAAGGAAAAATGCACCAAGTATGCAGTAAACAAGAATAAAGAAGTAAAGGTAAACAGAGTCTGTGGAAAAAAGATTTGGTTTACTTTCACCTGTCCTTGAAAGGACCTTTAATTCAGCCTCTTCTTTCGTAACATATATTTTCATTTTTATCTAAGTAACAATGTGCATGGTGAGTAAAGTCAAATACATTTTCTCTTCTCACACCAAGTTGCCATTCTTTCAAATTCTTCAGTTTTATTTCATTTTTAGTATTTATACCTAAGTAGGCTTATAATGGTAACCCTTAAAATATTAAGTTTAAGTAATATCTATTGATTTTCCTGTGGAAAATGAGGATTTAGTTCTCTTATACCATTTACTTTTCTTCTTCCAACTTTGAAAATATCTCCCAATTGTAATTAAATAATTTTGTACTTAAATATATATATATAAAACATTGTTAGCTGATGAGATTAGTTAACTACTGTATAATCACGTTTCTTTACTTCACTTTTTGTTTTCCCCAGAACTGTCTTATTTTTTCATTCACTTAGCTTTCTATGTACATACCACAAATTTCTCCCACTCTCCACCAGTCCCTCAATTAAATTTTCCAGTCAAATGCATCAGAAATCAACTAGCTTTCTTTTATCTATGAAGACTTCGCACCTTAAAAGCACTGTATCCTCCTCCCACTCCAAACTAAACTATCAGTACCCTGACCTGTGCATTACTGTTGTCCTAGGAACTTTCTTCACCTCTCTGAGCTAGAGCTCCTACTTCTTAATACTTCATCTTCATCATTCTTGGTTCAGTGAATACATTATTTCAATGCAGTATGTCATTCCTAAGAAAGATATACTGGAGATAATGTAAAAATCTTTACTTGACCTGACTGACAGCTTGTCTTAGTAGAGAAGCCTATGTTGGGAATCATTTTTACACTTAATATTGTTTACTTTTTCAAATAGCTTTGCTTCTTCTGTTTACTAAAAAGATTAAAATGTGGTTCTAACATAGTTTTTCCTGAAACGAAAAAGTTAAATTTCAGATATTGTCTTTTCATTTCTATATAATTCAATATCCATCTACTAAAAATACAGATATTTTCCTTCCTAATTATTATCATAACCTTGGAATCATCTATAACTCGTCACACTCAAATTTGCCTAGCTGATTAAAAAAATTTCATTTTACTGTTCATTTGTTTGACAGCCAGGATCCAAAACAAGGCCTACACACTTTATTTGGATATTATGTCTCCTAAGCTTTTTATAATCTACAATCACTCCTCCATTTTTTTCTTCATGAAATTGATTCAGGAAAAAAAGTCAACTGTTCTCTAGATAACTTTACATTCTAGAATTGTCTGTTTTCCTTATTATATCATTTACTTGATCCTCTATCCTATCCTGTACAATGGAGGTTAGCTCCACATACTAGGATTCAATTTCAACTTTCGGGAAAAGATGCTGTGTGGTTCATATCACATCATTTAGGAGGCCCACAACGTTTGGATATCCACTTTAGCAATGCTAAGATTGATCAGCTGGTGATAGGTAGCATGAGTTTATGCACTATAAACTTCCCCCATCATCCTTTCATTTAATATCTTCACCCATTAATGATCATTGCCACCATCTATTATTTTATTAAAGTTGTTTTCTAATTCCATTTCATCCACATTTATTACCTATAATTATTGTGCAAAGAACTTCTCCCCAGTAACTAGGGCTATGTGCTTAATCCTAAAATACAGTTCATTCAAGCAAAACCAAGTTAAATGCTTAAGTCTTTCATTTTAATTGTTAATTTTCAGAGTAAGAAGTCAGTGCTCTAATTCCTAAATAAGATTTGGGAGAGAGAAGGCAGGGTCACATCATTAGAAGCTAATAGGTTTTCATTTTTTTTTTTTTTCCTTTTTGTCTTTTTTTCGTGACCGGCAACGGATCGCAACCCTCAGTGTCGCGCCCGCACCGGACCGGGACCAGCCACGGGATCGCAACCCTCGGTGTCGCCCCCGCACCTCGCTCAGCCAGTGAGCGGCCGGTCTGTATTTGGGATCCGAACCCTTGGTGGGAGCGCCGCCGCGCTTCCCAAGCGGTGCACTGCAGCAGTGCGCCACCGGGCCGGCCCTAGGTTTTCATATTTTAATGAGTTTCAATCAATGGTGGTAAAATTTTTTATTGATTTTGTTTCTTGATTTGATGATTAAATCTTTGACCAATAGAAGCCCCTTCAAATTTAGTCTTTTGGGCATAACCCTAGTACTCTTCTTTGTTTTCTATTACACCAAAACATTGCAGTCTCATCATATATATTTCCTACTCCTAGATCTATTACTCCAAAGAAACTTCTTAGTGAAACATGGTATATAAACTTCTTAGTGAAACACCATATATATATGATACATAAAAACTACAATTGAGGTATTAGGTGTGCTATGCTATAGGGTTTTCATTGCTTCAAGGTTTTCTCAGGGGACAGAGCTAGGATACATATGATATGGTCTTTGAAGAAAGAAAAAAAAAGATAACGTAATCTTCGTGAATTTGTTCCTAATTCCAGGGATTTTATGTTATGTCTGTTATTAGTTTCTTGAGGCTACTATAACAAATTACCACAAACTTGATGACTTAAACAACAGAAATTTATTCTCTCACAGTTCTGTGGCCAGCAGTCCAAAATAGCGTGTTGGCAGAGCCACGCTTTCTCTAGAAACTCTAGGGAAGAAGGTTCCTTGCCTCTTCTAGGTTATGGTGGCTGCCCAGCAAGTTCTGTGGCCAGCAGTCCAAAATAGCGTGTTGGCAGAGCCACGCTCTCTCTAGAAACTCTAGGGAAGAAGGTTCCTTGCCTCTTCTAGGTTATGGTGGCTGCCCAGCATTTCTTGGCTTCTCTTGGGTTGTGGCTGCATCACTCCCATCTCTGTCTCCAGCTTCACATCACCTTCTCTGTCTCTTCTCTGTATGAACTTTACAAGGACACTTGTCATTGGATTTAGGGCCCAAAATAATCCAGAGTGATCTAGTCTCAAAATCCTTAACTTATCTGCAAAGACCCTTTCTCCAAATAAATTCATATTCACAGATTTAGGGTATTACAAGACAGATTTATCTTGGTGGGGTGCAGCGGTAGTGGTGCGCATCATTTAACCCATTATAAAGTCTATGATTCATTCTTGTTTCCTTTTAACACTGAAAATCTTGATTTTGTACAAATAAGTATAGTCACTTATTTGCATTATCCTACCATATACATAATAGTTTCAAATAATAGCACTATTACTTCTAACACTAAGATTACTAAAGGAAAGTTTAAGATTTCCTTGCAGCTCTATTTGTCCACTAATGATGGACAATCAAAATACTGTGTTGCAAAGTTTCCTGAAATAATTGTTTTCTGTGTATATATCACCAACTAGAAATACAATAGGTACAATTCATTTCTATGTGTCTTCAATCATTATGGGTTTTTTCATTTTGATTAAATTTTATATTAAGTATGTAAAACATTTATAAGATTCCAAAGTCAAACTATATAACAAGATACACTCTATTCACAAGTCTCATCTATATCTGTCTACTCTATTTCTTCTGTTCCCCATAAAAATCTGTTTATTGAGTTGTTAGTTTTGCCTATTTGGTGTAGTTTTACAAATATAAACATGTATAACATCCATCTATCCACATTCTCACCACCTTATTCCAACACAAAAGTAGCTTATATACTGCTGTATACCTTGATTTCCTCATTTCCTGCAGGTCATTTCTTATCAGTCCACAGAGAATTTAGAAAACACTGACCCTCAGTTTTCCAGTACCCACTGTTGATGCTGACTAAGTCCAATCTAACTTTCATTCTTGATCCTTTAATTGGGATTTTTTATCTCCAGAAGCTTTTAATATCTTTTCATTATCTGTGGTTCTAACATTTCATAATGTAACTGGGTCTGCACCTTTTTTTCTTTTTTTTTTTTAATCTACTGTTCTGGGCACTTGGTGGATCTTAAAGTTCTGAGAATTTTATTTTTATTATTGCTTTAATTTTCTTCCCTGCTTTCTCTGTAGCCCTTTATGCAGAAATTTAAGACTGCAGCTTTTCTAGTGTTGCTATGTCAGTTAACATACATTTCTATCTGTAACTGACATTCCAAAATTTGGGTAACCTCTCTTCCATTGTTATTTCCTCTCCCATTCTCTTAGTCCTCTAGAACTTACGCTTTTCTTTCCTTTGCCTTCATTTTAGGGAGCTATGGGAAAAAAAGGAAAAACATGTATTCCTATACATTAAATCTGCCATATTTAATAAATTACCCGAGGAAAGGGTGGGAGAAAGAAAAGTCCTTTGTAGCAAAAGATTGGCAGTGGAGGGTAGTGGAGGATGAAATCTCTAAGGGCAGACAGATCAACCAAGAGAACTATAATAATACACAGAAGGAAAGAATAGATACTGAGAGAGAGAACAGACAGAATTTAATTGATGAAGAAAAATTATGAATTACAGGTTCTTGCTTGAACAACTAG